ACTATACCAATCAACCAATCAATAAGTATTTATTAAGCACCTACTAAGCACTGGAGATACAAAAAGAGATAAAACACAGTCTGGGACCTCAAAGACCTTACAGTCTAATGAAGGAGACAACATGCATACAAATCAATACAGACAGGAATGAATTAACTGAGAGAAGGCACTACAATTAAGAGGGATTTTAGTTGAGATTTAAAGGAAGCTAGGGAGGTCAGTAATTAGAGTGGAAAAGGGAGAGCACTCTAGGAATGAGGAACAGCCAGAGAAATGAAACTCTCAAAACAAAATTTTATAGAGCTTAAAAAAAATTTTTTAAAAATCACTGGACTCTGAAAAATAGTCTGGCGGAAACTAGTCACAGACCAATATTGCATACCAGATACCATGATAAATTCTTGTTCCCTCACCCATTTCTCCAAGGCTATATCATCTTCACCTGATGCACTTCTATGGTACAAAACTGACTCCTTTCCTTTCTTCCTCCTTTTCTCCTCATTATAGTACCATCCCTCCTACTTGTCTTCTCCAAAGACCTTTAAAACAAAAGAAAACCACCCCTACTCTGTCATTTTAACTTTTTTCTACATGACTTAATACTAAGCCTCTGAGAAACATCTGTTTCTTATCCCCCTATTAAAAGACAAACAATTCATTCCCACATTTGTTGTTGTTCATTCATTTAGTCATTTCCTACCCTTAGTGATTCCATGAACCACAGCATGCCAGGCCCTTCTATCCTCCACTACCTCCCAAAGTCTGTCCAAGTTTATGTTCATTGCTTCTATGACACTATCTATTCATCTCATCCTATGCCATCCCCTTCTCCCTTTGTCTTCAATCTTTCTTAACATTAGGGACCTTTTCAATGAGTCCTGTCTTCTCATTGCATGGCCAAAGTATTGAAGCTTCAGTTTCAGTATTTGACCTTCCAATAAATAATCTGAATTAATTTCTTTAAGTGTTGACTGATTTGATCCCCTTGCTGTCCAAGGGACTCTCAAAAGTATTCTCCAGCACCACAATTCAAAAGGATCAATTTTGCAGTGCTCAGCTTTCCATATAGTCCAACACTCACAGCAGTACATTGCTTCTAGAAAAACCATAGCTACGTGGACTTTTGTTGGCAAGGTAATCTCAGTGCTTTTTAGTATGCTGTCCAGATTTGCTTTAGCTTTCCTTCTAAGGAGCAAGCATCTTTTATTTTCATGGTAGTGGCCGTACGCAATGGTCTTTCAGTCCAAGAATATAAAATCTGACATTGCTTCCATTTCTTCACCTTCTATTTGCCAAAACATGATGGGACCAGTTGTCATGATCTTAGTTTTTTTTTGTTTGTTTTTTTATGTTAAGCTTTAAGTCAGCATTTACACCCTCCTCTTTCATCCTCATCAAAAGGCTTCTTAATTCTTCTTCACTGTCTGCCAGAGTGGTACTGTCTTCATATCAGAGATCATTGTTATTTCTCCAAGAAACCTCAATTCCAGCTTTTGATTGCATATAAGTTAAATCAATAAGGTGACAATACACAGCCTTGTTATACTACTTTTCCAATCTTAAACTATTCAGTTGTTCCACGTTCAGTTCTAGCTGTTGCTTCTTGACTCACATACATGTTCCTCAGGAAACAAGTATAACCTGGTACTCCCATCTCTTTGAGGACTTGCCATATTTTGCTGTGTCATCCCCACATAATCCCTTTCAATTATATACATATGTGCCATGATATATTTCTCTTGGTGCCTGCATTTCCATTTCTAAATATCTACAAAGTCTTTTTATCAAGAATGCTTGGACTCAAGTGAAACATGAAGAGTTAAACAGGAAAGAGAAATCATAAGAGACTTATTAAGGTTGAACTGTTTACATTCCTGCATGAAAAGATAATATTTGTAACTCATGAGACCTTTGTCAGTATCAGGGTAGTTGGAGGGGAAAAAAATTATATGTATAGATAGATTGATAGATAGAGGGCACAGGGTGAGTTGAAGATGAAGGGGTGATATCTGGAGAATAAAATTAAGGGGTGAGAGAGGATTATACTGGGAGAAGTAGAAAGGGAGAGGTAGAATGGGGTAAATTATCTCATATGAAACAGACAAGAAAAGACTTTTACAGTGGAGGGGAAATGGAGGAAGGTGAGAGGGAATGAGTGAATCTTATTCTCATCAGATTTGGCTTAAGGAGGAAATAACATACACACTCAATTGGGTATGGAAATCTATCTTACCCTACAGGAAAATGGGGGGGGGGGCAACAGAGCAGGAGGATGATAGAGTGGAGGGCAGATTGGAGGAAGGGGTAATCAGAAGCAAACACTTCTGAGGAGGGACAGGGTCAAAAGAGAGAATAGAATAAATGGGGGGTGGGATAGGATGAAGGGAAGGAAATATACTTAGTTTTTCACAACATTACTACTATGGAAGTGTTTTGCATGACTACACATGTATGACCTATAAAAAAAAATATGCTTGGAAATCCTCTATTCCTTAAAAATCCATTTCCCTTCCTGTAGTATTATACTGAGCTTTTCTAAATAAGGATCTCTTCAGTTGTAAACGTTTTATCTCTTGCCTTTTGGCAAAAGCCATTCCCCAAATGGTCAAAGGACACAAACAAACAGTTTTCTAAGGAAGAAATCCAAGGATACAAACAGTTTTCTAAGGAGGAAATCCAAGTTATCAATAGACATAGGAAACCACACTCCAAATCACTAGAGAAATGCAAACTAAAGTAATCCTAAGAGTTCTACCTCATCCCTTCAGATTGGAAATGCTGACAAAAAAGGAAAAAAGACAAATGTTGTAGAAAAACACTGTTGGTGTAGCTATAGCGAGGTCATTCTGGAAAACAATTTAAAATAATGCCCTCAAAGTTACTAAATTGTACATACACTGTCAGCCGGCACTAGGCTTATACTCCAAAGAGAACAAAGAAAGAAGAAAAAGACCAACCTGTATACTTACATTTAAAGTAGCTCTTTTTGTAGTGCCAAAGAAGTAGAAACTGGGAGAGTCAATACTCATTAATTGGCAAATGGCTCATAAAATTCTATTTTATGAATATAACACTATTGCACCCTAAGAAATGGAGAGGTTGGTTTCAAAGAAACCTGGGAAAATTGTATAAATTGATGCTGAGTAAAGTGAGCAGAATAAGAATAATTTAAATAATAACAACTGTAAAGACAAACAATGTTGAAAGACTTAAGAAGACCAACCACAATTCCAGAGCACCAACGATGAGACATGCTACTCATCTCATGACAGAAGAGACGGACTCAGAGTACATACTGAAACACGTAATTTTGGACATGGTCAATGGAATCATTTGTTTTGCTTGAGGGTTTGTTTTTGGGGGTTTTGTTTTGTTTTTTTGGTAAGGAAGGGAGGAGGGGAGAGGGGGAGAGAGAGGGAGCGCGCGCGAGAGAGAGAGAGAGAGAGAGAGAGAGAGAGAGAAATCATTGGACTTCTTAATAATCATCATCAAGGGGGCAGCTAAGTGGCATAATGGATAGAGCACTGGCCCTGGAGTCAGGAGGACCTGAGTTCAAATGCGACCTCAGACACATAATACCCACTAGCTGTATGACTCTGGGCAAGTTACTTAACCCCCATTGCCTCACCAAAAAAAAAAAATCATGATCAAAATAAACCTGGAAATTATATTTTGAGAAATCAAAAATGAAGATCACCCAGATCTATTAGCACCAGAGAGCAAAGTTAAGATAGAAAGAACCCACATAACTTCCTCAAAGAAACCCTAAAAGAAAAAATCTCAGGCATGTTATGGCCAAAATCCAGAGTTCCTACATCAAATGAAAAATACCATAAGTATCCCAAAAAAGCAGATCAAGTATTTATTAAGAAACTATGTAAGACCTGACAGCTTCTACTAAAATCCAAAGATCTCAGAATACAAATTACAAAAGGCAAAATAGATTTACAACTAAGGCCAGATTTGAATTCAGGTCTTCCTGACTCCAGGCACAATTCTCTATCCACTGTACCACCTACTAAATAAGATAAAGCATCATTAAAGCTATAAGCCAGAGAAAAAATATGAAATGGACTAATAATTCAGCAGTAATTCAGTTCAGTTAATTGAGTGCTCCTGGAGTGCGAAGAATTATGCTAGGCCTTGGAGGAGATACTAAGACAGGAATATTGACCCTTTTTTCCTCAGGCTTCAGGTAACACTAGTTTTTCACCTCTCTAACACACTCATGTATCATACTTATTTGTACACTCTCATAGAAGGATTTGCCACCATTGAATAGTCTGTAAGGGCCCCAGACAATTCTCAAAGCAGAATTTCAGAAAATACTTTTAAGAGACTTTTCATAAAAAGAGTATGTCCCTCTCCCTTTCCCCCTCCCCCCCCTCCCCAATGGTAATTACTCTGAAGGGAATAACACTTAACTGGATGTATAAATTCTGATATATTTGTTCAGGAAAAAAATTGACAATGAATTATATTATTCAATTTACATTGAACATGACTTTTTAGGAGTACATTTACTGTGTCAACAATATACACAAGTGCCATATTTATTGGCAGCCACTCTTAAGATCTTTTCATGATTAAACTTTCTTATACAATGATGTCTGCATAGTTCCTTTACCCCTATAACATTCTACTTAATATCATATTCACTGTATTAGAATGTAATTTCCATGCCTCTCCTCACTTTCTCCTGCTCCCACTGTCAGCTGTCTTTTGTGTTTTTATATGCTGTATTCCCCCATTAGCATGTAAGCTCCTTGAGGGCAGAAACTATCTTTCTACTTCTACTTGTATTCCTACCTAGCTTATAGCTTAGTACAGCACCTGGCACATAATAAGTGCTTAATAAATGCTTGCTGAATGACTTATTTTTTAAAATCTTTGTATTTCAAATACCTAGAACAGTGCCTGGAACAAAACAAGATGATTAAATTAAGAGTTAAATTTGAATCCTCAAAGCCTGGTGCAACAAGACGCAAACCAGCACTCACCTGAGATCCAGATGCAGGAACTGAAGCTGCTTCATTCTTGTCTCTGGTATGCCTTCCTTCAGGAAGGGTAGGGAGCTGGGAAATCGGCAAACCTAAGGCAGGAGATAGGAAGTGTTAAAACACTGGATTTGTTCCACGCTATCTCCTTAATAGACCTACTCTCAACCACACAAAACTATAGCACCTTGTAGCAGGACATTCTGAGAAACAATTAGGAAAATAGATCTGATGCCTGTTCCTCCATCCACAACCCTACAGACTTGGTTCTTACCTCTCCCCTAAAAAATAAATTCCCTCCATACTACACTGAATAGCGATTGTCCTTGTCTACCACTACATCTTTTCCCTGGCCTTGTTGGTATAACCGAAGCAAAATAAGTTTTCAAACTCAAGCCAGACCAGTCCACTGACAAAACATTACAAAAATTCTCAAACTAAAGTGGATAATCGAGGCCTACCTTATTATAATACTGCTCCCTAATCCCAGAAGGACACTGAGAGAAACTCTTTCCCTGCTTATTTTCTAGTTATCTGTTGAAATCACTTAAGTTCATTTTCAACTTATTATCCATGGGCTCACTGTCATGGGACCACTGTTCAAACTGCCCAGACTCTCCCACCAGCAAAGCTCTCTTTCAGAATGAAGCAATGTTCCTCACCAAACTCAAGTGAGTTTTCAGACTCCTCTTTGATGCTGTGGTTTAGCTGTTCCTCCTGTGCTGAGCGTGAATTCTGTGTGCCTTCTTTCTGAAGCATTACCTTTGCATTAGGCTCCACTGGGACACCTGACGATTCCATTTCCTCTGAATGAGCTTCTTGTCGGAGCACTTGGACTTTGATCTATGAATCACCCAAGCCCAACCCACATTATTAGGTGTGAGATGAGGTGACACTGGGGTTGGGGGGGTGGGGGGAAAGAGACATTTGAAATTAGACAACAACAAGAGACTCTTTTCAAAGTACCTTCGATCTGAAAATGTGCTCACAATTGCTATTAGAAAAATTAAAGGGGCAGCTAGGTGGCGCAGTGGATAAAGCACCGGCCCTGGATTCAGGAGGACTTGAGTTCAAATCTAGCCTCAGATACATAACACTTACTAGCTGTGTGACCCTGGGCAAATCACTTAACCCCACTGCCTAGCCAAAAAAAAAAAAAAAAGGAAGAAAAATTAAAATTCCATGGTGTCATCTTACAAAATTGGCAGAGAGTAAAAAAATGGTAAAAATTCAATTTTAGTAGGGTTGTAGTAAAACGAAGACATAAAATTAAATGTATTAAACTTAAGTTCTTGAGAGTGATAAATAATCATATGGATAGGTGGGAAACTAATATACAGTATTTAGACTTTCAAAAAACTTAAGGTTTCTCAGTAAAGAATGTAAAAAAATCATCACCATGGAAATTGGTATTCATTACTTTGCCACAGAAGGGAATGCCTATGTCACTGCTGATAGAAGAATGAATTGGCCCAACTATTTTTTAAAATAATCTGGAATTAAGCAAAAAAAGTTAGAAGTTGTTCAGTCCCTTTGATCCAAATGATTCCACTACTCAGTTTATTCCTTATCTTTACAAAAATATTCATAGAATCATTATTTGTAATAGCAAAAAATCAGAAACAAACTGTGTGTCTAACAAGTAGGTGATGGGTAAACAAATTATGATATATAACCATTTCTGATTGGCTAGCTATTGTGGTCCTGTCTTAGGCTAAAAGGATGATATGATTGTGATTGAGCACAAAGACACACCTGTTCAAATATGTGAATTGGATCTGAGGACAGTGGCAAGCTAGGGGCACTGGCTATATTGAGTCTGGAGGCCTGAGGTGTGGTTAAAACCATATTATGTGGTTAAATCAGGGTATGCCTGCTGTTCAGTGGGGCCCATAAGGAAATCATAATGTTGGGGCTGGGGGCAGCTTTATTAAAATTCCATCAATATGACTAAAAAAGGACTGAACAACAACAAAATGGAGAAAGAAGTAAACATAACCAGCAAAACAATTTACAGGATGACCACAAAATTCCAACCTTAGTCTTCCTCTTAAGTCCTAGGAATATATCTCCAATTGCCCATTAGACATTTCAAATTGAATGTCCTGTAGGCATCTCAAACTCAGTATTTCCAAAACAGAACACATTTTCCTTGCCCCTCCCCCCAATTCTGAACTTCCCTAATACCCTGAAAAGTACCACCACCACCCTTCTCACCTAACCTAACCTCACAACGTCAGTGTCATTCTTGACACTTGACACAATATATCCAATCAGTTGTCAAATATTTTCATTTCTACCTCTAAAATATCTGTCCTATATAGCTCATTCTTTCCACTCATGCAGCCACCTCCCTTTTTCAGGTCCTCATCACCTTTAACCTGGACTATTTTAATAGCCCCCAACAGGTCTCCTAACCTCAAAACTGTCCTAACTCTAAATCATTTTTTACTTACCTGACAAAGGATTTTTCCTAAAATGTTGGTCTGATTATGTCATGCCCCACTCAATAAATGCCAAATACTCTTTATTACCTTTAGGATCAAATATTTAAAACTTGTCAATATCTGGATCTTTCCTACAATCTACAGCTCTCCACGTGCTCTACTAACTTCTATCTCCATGCCTTTGTAGGGCTGTCACTCATGCCTGAAATGCTCTCCCTGCTTTATTCTCCACCTCTTAGAATGCTTGGTTTCCTTCAAGACTCAGCCTGATAAAAGCTTACTAAATGATTATTTATTGATTGGTACTAACATTAAAATGAAAGAACAGTTCCTTCCTATCTTTTAAGAAACTAAACTACTAGAAAGTAAACTATTAAAGTGTATGACTTCATGTGTAAAAAAAACTATGTAAAAAGGATTCTTTACCTAGCATTAGAATGCATTTGGCTTAAACTATTACAAACTTTGCTCAACTTTAGTAGTAACATTATTTCCACAACTATATCTACTTCAAAAAAGAAACTGTTAGCTTTCTTTGTAATAAAGATACTTGCAGGAGTCAAACTGCTGTAATACTTTTATACATAAATAACATTATAATATAATTGTTTCTAGATTCTGAACCTAGAATAAGAAAAACAGAGTAGACTCGAATTCTACCACCAACAGTTATCCAAAAAAAGCAATGAAAGTTTTATAACTTTTTCCATGACCATTCTGGAGTTTTTGTAAAATGGAAATATGAACAAATATTTTCTCAGTTCTAAGTGGCAGAAAAACCCTAATTTTTTTTGTAACTTTAAATGTTTAGTAAGTACATTTGCAATGCCTAAAAAATAAACACAAAAAATATCCAAAGTACACTAAGATCCTTCCTTCCCACTCCCTTCAAAAGGATCATTACAAAGAAAAGAATTATTTCCTTTATTAACCCAGGACAGATAATAGTTTTTATAGACAGTCCCAGAGTGCTTCAGACCAATATTATGACACTGATTCATCAAAAGTCAGTTACTGGTCTCCATTGTTAGATCCCAGGAAAATTTATTTAGTTTATTTAATACGTAAACTATAATGGAGTACCATGACAATGAATATGAAGAACTCAAAGAAAATACTGGAGGATTTGTAGGAATGGAGAAAGAAGTAAAAACCATTTATAGGATGACCACAAGAATCCAAACCTAGTCTTTCTCTCGAGGGCTTTTTTTAATTTAGTTTATTTAAAAGCTCACTTTAGAAAGAAGAGTTCTTTCTTGATGTCCTGCCCCACCACAATTCTATCACAATACTTCAACCCTCTCACTTACCAGATTAGAATTTCCTCTACTTACCCAATGCCACAATCTCCCAGGGTCTTTCTGTAAGCCCTCTACCAATGTCACTGCTTCTTCTCCACTCTCTGGACACTGCTTCCGCACCCAGGTTTGGATCTCCCCTGGTAAGATGGTTAGGAACTGTTCCAGCATCAGCATTTCCAAGATCTGCTCCTTTGAGTGAATCTCTGGCCTCAGCCACCCAAAGCAGAGCTTCCTAAGTTGTCTCATAGTCTCATGGGGCCCAGACATCAACTGGTAGTGAAACTGCCTGAAGTGTTGTCGAGCTGTCTCAGGGTTGTCCCCTCTCAGGGCAAAATCATGTCCAGAAAAAGAATCCTCCTCTAGCTTCATCAATGGAGATGTAGGGATTGAGGACCCCAACGCAGCAGGCATCATACAGCTTAAAAGGCTACTCCACTTTTGGAAATGGAAGAGAAAGTCTGAGATTTTTGAGTTCAAACTTTTCTTCCTCAGAACAATTTTAGAGCCTCTCAAAAGGAAGCCTGAAAGAAAAGAGATCCAAAAACCTGTCAAGAATGATAAATAAGAAAGAACAGACAACCACCCTGCTCTACCCAAAAGACCTCTGCATGGAATATGTTAATCTACAGATTTCTGAGAGGACTCAAGTTTCTTTTTTGAGAGGACAAATCAAACTAACCAGCAGCAAGAGATTATAAGCTCCCATCAAAGAGCCCCAGATTTCATAGGCAAAAGTGTGAAATTTAAAAATGGAAAATGACAAAAGTGAACATAAAACAGATGAGATTAACCAGTTATAGAACTAATCCACCCTAACAGATTTATGAATGAGTACTTGATGAACCTAGAATGTGTCTCAAATACAATTAAGAGACAAAGATTGTTGTTAAAATCTTATCAAGTAACTAAGGGTAGCTACCAAAACTTTCCAAGAAAGATATCAATTTAAAATTCAGTCATTTACATCTGAAGAACTTTAAGGTCTACAAAATGTTTTGCTCATTACATTTCCCACAAAGCATTTTTTTTTCTAACCCTGTAGATAATGCAAGTATTATTGTTTTTATTTTACAGATGAAGAAACTGAGGTTCTAAGACCTTAAGTGATTTGCTCTTCATGATAAAAGCTAGTATTAAGTTTCTGAGGCAGGATTCAAGGCTCCAGGTTTAGCATCCTTTATCCAAAAATTTAATTTAAAGAAGGCCATAATGTAATCAATTGTAGAAAAGGCAGCCAGGCAATACAGTGCATAGAGCACTGGACTTGGAGTCATTGAGGCCTGAGTTCAAATCCAGCCTCACAAACTTATTAAATGTGTGAGACTTCTGCTTGCCTCAGTTTCCTCAACTATATATTATAGCATCTACCTCCCAGGGTTGTTGTGAGTACAAATAAAATATCTGCAAAGCACTATCTGTAAAGCCTAATGAAATGTAGAGCCTAATATAAGTAACAACCTTCCAACTGTCCAAGGGGAGAGTGTGCTATGATTCTAAGTGGCAATTCATCGTATAATAATAAAGATAACCCTACAAAATATCATACTGCTTTTCCTTTAATTTACCAGGGATTCTGCTGACTCTAATTTTGTCTTCTAAGCATACTTACCCATTGTGTGGACCTACCCTATACAAATGACTGGCACTGGTTTCAGTTTTAATTCTTCAAACAGATAATAAGATGCCTATTTTGAACAAAGTAGCACTGAAGTAACTACTAGAGATTCAAAGATGAAAAAAAAAATCGTTTCCATCCTTCAAGCCAGTAGCCATAAGCTAATGGTATTCCTAGGTATATTTTTCACTTTAAATCAATGCACTGAAATGCTTTGGCTAAAACAATTTGCTTCAAAGCAAAATAACTAAAAAAACTCACATCATAACCACCTAATAATATTGCAACTTGAGATAAGGATTTGAACATCCTAATCACCTACCTCCCTCCATGGATCTCTCTCAAGCCACTGAAACTGCCTCATTCCTTAATATCAGTTAGCATATTCTTACCCTGTTATACTCTTCCCATCTCAGTGATCCTGAACCATTGGTTGTCACTATACAAATCTCAGTCCCCAAACTCAAGTGCCCATACCCTTAACTCCCCTCTCCCTCAACTACACCCTCCAAATGTCCCATTCCAAATCTACCTGCCCCTTCCACTATGCATTCTGAAATGCCTTCTTCATAGTTAACAAACTTGCTTTCATCATAAACCTTTCTGACTTTCAAGTCATGTGACCAACATGGAGGACTAGACATCTCTGATTCTCCAAGACTTCTCAAACCTCTCCAAAACAGAAATTATGCCTCTAGGATCAACTCTTCTGCTTGCCTTTTTAAGGTCTTGATATCTGGCCTCTGCCTATCTTTCTGTGATCTTCATCTGTTATTCTATTTTCTACACTACAAACCAGGAAGGTTTAACCTTTTTCGGTTCCTCAAACATATCACTCCCCTCTTCATCTTCAATTCCATCTAACTGAATCCTTCCTTTCCTCAAGACTCAGCAAAAAGCAACAACTTCTAAATGAAGTCTTCCCTAATCCTTGAAATTGCTAGTGCTCTCTCTCCCTAACTATCTAGTATTTCTTATGTACTTAAATTATACACACATTGTCTTATCTTCACAGAATGTAAGCTTCATGAGAGCAGGGATTGTTTCATCTGTCTTTCTTTATCAGAACACAGCACAAAGACTAGCACATAATAGGCACTTAATAATGAATGCTTAATTGACTGACTAGATCTAGATCTTGATCAAGAGCTTGAAGGGACTTTGAGGCCATCTATTTTCCCATTCCCACTTTATAGATGAGTAAACTAAGGGAACATTATGTAACTTGCCTATTTATAAATCCAAGTTCTCTGAAGCCAGTCAGAGTTCTTTCACCCTCCAACACTGGACCTGCTCAAGGATATATAGTGGTGAAATACAGCCCTAATTTCTCTCCTGAACTTCAATCCCACATCACCAAGTGACTTGTGGACATTTCAAACTAAATATACCCCAGACAGAACTCATTATCTTTCCCTCAAATTCTCCCCCAGAGAATTTGCCTATTACTGCCCCAACCTGCCTATTACTACCAAGAGCACTGCAATCCTCCCAATATTCAGTTTTGCAACTTCAGTATTTTCCTCAACTCCTTAATCTCATGCATTCCACTATTCAAGCCAATGCAATGGAACCCAACCCGAATCTTGTCATTTCTACCTTCACAATTTCAGTCCACTATGTTCCGTTCTTTCTACTAACACTGCTACTACAATAATTGAGGCCCTCATCAACTCTCATTTGGACTAGTGCAATAGTCTTGGTCTCCCCACCTCAAGTCTCTTCCCATTCCAATGCTGCCTCCCCACAGCTACCAAAGGGATTTTTCAAAAACTGAGCTCTAACCTTCCACCCTCCCCCAACCTCTTACTCAACTTCCACTGGCTTACTGTTACCTCAAGGATCAAATCTAAATAAACTTTAAATTGCACTAAGACTTTGGGGCACTATATAACTGCCTCCGGCATTTCACTACCTATCACTTCCAATCTTCTTACACTTTACTCCTCTTCATGCACTCTACAAAACAACCTCACTTCCCCGTATCCCCGGCTCCCTTTAAGACTCGGCTCAAATTCCACCATCTGCAGGGCCACCTTCCGATCTATGGTTACTTTCTATCGACTATATCTTGTACGTACATGTCGCCTCCCCCATTAAAAGGTGAGCTTCTCTGGGGCAGTGTACGTGGTTTTGCCCTTCTTTGTATACACAACACTCAGCTCAGAGTCAATGCTTAATAAATGCTTGTTGACAGAGTAGCAGAACTCAGACCACAATTCAGGTTGAGTGTTTTACCCACTACACCATCCAAACTCTCCTGGGGCTAGTTTCCACATCGCCAAGTGGTTACCAGGCTTTAAATCAAACCCATGAGCATGGGTACAATCAGTGGCGCTAAGCCTTTCAGCTTTACTCCCATCACTCCAGACGCAAAATCATCCCCTCCTCCACCAACCACAAACCCTGGAGCCCCACACCCAGGGATGGAAAGAGGCTGGGTTCCCAAGCCGCTAGCTCTCGCTACCTTCTTCACCTTCACCCCCAATCCCCAACTGCCCATCCAGCCACACAAGTACAGCGGGGGGTGGGGGAGGGCAGGAGGATGGCTGAATCCCAGCTCAGCTGGGTTCCCTTAGCCTCTGCAGCGGGAGAAAATGAAAATGCACAAAAGCTCAAGCCCCGAGTGTGCGGAGTGATTGGGACTTGTGATCCTGGGCTCCTACCTGGCTTCTCCGGCTTCATTCAGCTCCAGCTCAGAATCAAGGTTCTTCAGGTGCCTACAGCGCTCCAAATGCTCACTTCCGGGCAAGGAGTTCAGACTGCGCGCGCATGCGGAACCTAGCGTCAGGAACCCCAAGGGGTGGAGCCATCCTGAGTGGGAGGGGAAGGGGGTGGAGCGAGTACCCCGAGGGGGTGGGGTCATCTTGAAGCATTAGAGAGTGATGTAATCGATCTCAGACCGGACCGACCTGGGCCTAGGCATTGCCTGCAGGCGCTGTCTACATTCTCATGTAAGTGGCTTTTGAGGTCCCTTCCAGCTCTGGGGTTCTGAACCCCACCTTTAGCCAACTCACAATTATATTGGGAAATAAGAGCACTCAGAAAACTATAATATAAAATAGGAAGTTAAAAACACATTACAGATTGGAGAATGGCTGAACAAGCTGTGGTATATGCATGAGAAAGAATTCTATTGTGCTCTAAGAAATGATGAAGGGGCAGGTTTCAGAGAAACTTGGAAAGACCTACATGAACTGACCCAGTGTGAAGCAAAAAGAATCAAAAGAACAACATTATATAAAGACAAACAACTTCCAAAGACTTAGAAACTCAGCATTATGACCAACCACAATCCCACGGGACTCCTGATGAAGCATTCCACCACCCCCACCAATAGAGCATTAAGTGCAGACTGAGACATAATTATTGTTGACAGGATTTTACTGAGTCAGTCTCTAACTTGAAAATGACAAAACAGGAGGTCAGAGACAAAGTGCCAGTAATCAGGTAGCCATTTAACTAATTAGTTTTATTATGAGGAACAGATTTGCAAATTGGGAATTCTCCTGATCAGAATTCCACCTTGCTGAAGTGAAGACAGAGATTATATAAGCAGTGGGATGGGAAGGGGGAAGGTAGATCACAAACAATCATTCCCAGGGCTTTGAGTGCTGTCCCATGGCCATCATTGTGCCACATTGGGCTCAGAAGCCCCATCTCCGTCTGCTACTCTACCACCTGCATCCTCTTCTGCAACGTCAGGAGCTTGCCTATGGCATCTGTGTCATCCAACAGGCTGGAAACGGAACATTTAACAGAGCAAAGCTGCTGCATGTGGGAGTTCGGGAGGACCTTCATGATGAAGAGTGGGGACTGCTTGTTTCTGCATGATGTGGACTTACTGCCTGAAAACAATCACAATCTTTTTGTCTGTGACCCTGGGGGACCCAGACACGCTGTTGCCATGAACAAGTTTGGATATAGCCTCCCATACCCCCAATACTTTAGGGGGGTCTCAGCTCTTACTCCAGATCAGTACGTGAAGATGAATGGTTTCCCCAATGAGTTTTGGGGTTGGGGCAGTGAAGATGATATTGCCACCAGGATTCATCTGGCTGGGATGAAGATCTCTAGACCACCCATCTCTGTGGGATGGTACAAGATGGTAAAACACCGAGGAGATAAGGGAAATGGAGAAAACCTCCACAGGTTTGACCTCTTGATCCAGACACAACGTTCATGGACACAGGATGGAATGAACTTACTGATATACCAACTGCTAGCTCGAGAATTGGGCCCACTTTATACCAGTATTACAGCAGACACTGGAGTTGATCCCTGTGGACCCTGGCCTCCCTCAGGTCCCAAATTCCCACCTGGTTCTTCTCAGGCCTTTCAACACGAAATGCTCCAGTGAGGCCCTCAACATAGCCTGGTCCTCTGCCTCCTGCCAACCACACTGGTTCCCACTGACAACCCCTCTTCTCATTTGAGATTAGAGAGAATGTGTCTTTTCCTGGTCCCCTTTCACTGCTGCCTAAGTGGGTTCCTCAGCTGTGCTGGAGCTGGGTTCCTGCAGCCCTGGAGGACCCTACTTCTGAGTCCTCCAAGATAGGGCACATGACATAATGCTGACTCTCCACCTCTGTGGGAGTACCCTGCCACTAGGGTTGGAGTAGGTTTGGGCCCTAGGGTTCTCTTACTCCCGCCTTACCCTCCCACCCTCAAAAGAGGGCTCAGGTATGACCCTCCTCCCTGGGTTCCTGTGAATATTTATTTTATTTATGGTCCCTGGGGGAATGTGTCAGTTGGGGAGGGCATGATCCTTCCCCTTTGAGATTCTTTTCTGGGGTGTCTCTCCCCACTAAGTCTGTCTGGGAACCCTGGGATTTTTATATATTTTCTAATAAAGGACTCTGTTGTGTCTCTCCTTTGCTAACAAAAAAAAACAAAAAAAAAAAGAAAAGAAAAAAAGTTCTATGATGGGAACAGGTTCTACAGTCTTTGATTTGCTTTACATAAGGCATACAGCCTGTGATTGTGAGCATTATCAAAGGTTTGATTGATCATTTCAAGTTGCATTGGGAGTCTGATTCACAAGAGAGGCAATTCTGAAAAATCTAAATTATTAGTATATTCATTATACATATATCTATTATAAAAATCATAATTCCACACTATATACCACATATTATATGTATATATTATGTATATACATATAGACATACACACATATTTTGGACATGGTCATTGTGGGAATTTGTTTTGCTTGAAGACACCAAGTTCATAACAGTTTTATTTTCCTTGCTTCTCAGTGAGGAGAGGAGGGAAATGTGAGATGGAAAGAATGCAGACCTGAAAATAATAGAAATCGATTTTTCTTAAGTACATCTGTCTGACACTTCATGACCCAGTGGACCATACTGTCTATGGGGTTTTCTTGGCAAAGATAATGGAGTAGTTTGCCATTTCCTTCTCCAGTAGATTAAGGCAAACAAAGGTCACACAGTAAGTGTCTGAGGCTGAATTTAAACTCAGGTCTTCCTGACTCCAGGCCCAGCCCTCTATCCATTGAGCCATCTAGCTGCCTTAAGTAAATTAGAGAGGTGCAAATAAAAGTGCTCCTCAGGGAATGGGATGGCTTTGAACTACAAACATACCTCCCATTATTGATTGCATCAGGATATTCTTAACTAAGATATTCCTTAAAATCATCTTTATTCCCTCAACTCTGGGTTTTTGTTCAAAATTTTCCCATTTCAATCTTTCCAAAACAAGCTTCTCCACAAGGAAAAATTTACACTCAGTGACAGATACCTTCTCTCAACTTCTGCTTCTCTCACCTATTCTCTGGGTGATCTTAGGCAAGTCACTCCATTTCTCTGAAACTTAGTCTTCTCATCTGCAAAATGGGTATAATAAATATTTGTAGCAACAATAAATCGGCATCAAAATTATTTAGTATTGGATAAAATATAAAAGTAGATCAGTTAAAAAGTTAACATTTGTAAGAGGTCTAAAAACTGTGTGATTTTTAGTAATCTCTGCCTTTTACTTCAGCTTCTATGGTAGCTGCAAAAATAAATGGGACCAGATAGATCTGAGGGCTATTTTGTATTTTTCTTTATTTTATGAGTTGCCATGGCCAAATTATTCATCACCAAGTAAGCAAGTTACCCAAAAGCACATCCCACATAAGCAAGTTCCAAAGGCAAGCACAATGTCAAAAGTTTGGGCAAAACTGCTCCTGATCTGACAGCAGTATCACTCTTGATAATGTGGAAATTCCCTTGGGGATCGGTATTTTATCTGGTGTTATGACATCTGTCTACTATATGATGAATACACTGTCTAAGATATTGCTCAGGTAAATCTGAAGTATCTACTAAAATTGAAGTTCAACTTTCAGACCTCCCGGTAGGAAACAGAAAGTTCTTGCCTGGTGCTTAGAAGTGACCAGACCTTTCCAGTTCTACTGTTCCATTGAGCAGTTTCATAAACATATATCAATGACCCTTTCAGAAATGTCAAAAGAGCTAAGTTGCCAACAACTGTAAACTTTACTATTAAATCTTCTCCATAAGAATTTTAGATAAGCAAATGGCCATATGTTGAAAAGATTTTTTTCCCAAACCTCTGAGTCTCTGGGTTTCTATTTGTCTTCAGGGGTTTGATTTCTGCTTCCCTCCCCTGTAGTTCCATGCACCCCTGGGACACAGCATATCTCCTATAACAGACAAGTGAGAAAAACTTAGAAAAAAAGCAGTTTTACACAAAATAAGCAAGGGAACAGGGGATTTTTAGAAAGAGGGAAATTACAATGTGATGTTTATATTATTAGATTTCAAAGGAAAATAAAATACTTCTGACTCTAAATGTTCCTAAGTTTTGATTTTGTAGGGGCAAGTGTTAAGCACATTTATTTTAGGGAAGAAATAAAAGCTAATTTCATAATTAAAAAATTAGATATGTTTGAATTCATCGTAGAAACCAGCTTCCCTTCTGTTACTGATATCTTCCCTGTTGTTTTATCACCTTATGCTCAGGTTTTTATGTTTCTTTTTGTTTTGTTTTGTTTTGTTTTTAACATTTTTCTTCCTCCTGAGATCTTTGGTAATTTGAAACTTTTTTTTTTTTACTTATATTCCCCTATAGCTCACATTCCAACTCCTTCCGCTTTGATGGCAGATGTTCCAGGGTTGGACCTCACAGCTATCTCAGTTTCATCCTACAGTGGGAAATTTGCTTTTCACCTTGCTTCAAGTGACTTTGATGGGGACAGAACTGCTTCAAATGGATGCCTGACCCCTTTAAAGATTAAGCTTCTACTTTCATGTTTCTCTACCTTCTTCACACAGGGAGGTGGAAGGGGGCAGAGATGAATTCTGTTGCTTATTGCCTCAGAATGGTGGAGTGAGAGGTAAGGCAGGTGGGTGAGCTGGCAGAAACTAAAGCAGTAGCTAGGAAATTGATGAGTGGATCCCAGAGTACAAGCCTGTGGATATGGTTGGACAACCCTACCAAAGTATAGTTGTAAGAAGAAGGCATGATGAGTAGGTGAGTTAGAGATTAGAGATTAGCTTTCTCTGTTGTTAATTCATTGAGTTGTTACCTCATTAGAGGAATCTTAGCCTGTAGAGATAACTGCAATGAATTTATCTTTTATGCGTAATTCTTATTCTGGAGAAGTTTAAGAAATCATGAGAATCAGAGAAAATGCCTAATTCTCCATTTTATTGGACATGTAACCTAGAAGTCTCCAGCAAAACTGTTCTATCTGGATTTCTAAGTGCAAGTCAATTTATA